CAGCCGAGCCGCCTGCGGCCGCCGGGTCCGCCGTGGAGGAGGTTGGAGACGCGTCGTCGGGGACGAGAGCGGCGACCGCCCCATCATCCCGTGGATGTCGGCTGCGTGCGCGAGGATATCCGAGATGCGATCTCGGAGCTGCAGGAGCCGGAGGACGACTTCTACCTCGATGACGTTTTCGTCAAAGTCTTTCCCTCCTGGCGACGCTTTCCTGATAAAGGAGCTCAAAAAAGAAAGAAAAGGACGAGATGGAGGACAGCTGAGAGCTGACGACGGGATTACCACTGGTGTTTCGTCCTCCTCGGAGTCTTCTTCCCCGGCTTCCTCCCGTTCGGCTCTACGTTCAGCGTGGCTCACCCTCCATGCCGTGAACAGGCGCTTTATCCACCCTATATTAAAGGAGCTAGGTAGGTAGGTAGAAAGGTGAAGAACAGCCAGGCTCGGACTGGACACCAACGCGGTATGGGTGGACGCAAGACAGATGATGACGACACGCACGAGCGACACACAGACACAAACAAGCTCACAAGACACACAGCCAGCTGGCTGCCACACACCCTGAGTTGGCGTACACATAACTCAGGGCCACATTCCTCCTGTCGCCCCCCCCAGCACTCCAAGGTGCCAAGAGAAACAAACAAGGGCACAACATCACAACAGACGACAGGAGGTAATATGCGAGGCTAGAGCAGGCTTGCTCCACCTCTAGCAATCTCGCCGGCCGGCGAGGCACGGACGAGACCGTGTGTGGGGTTAGTGAGGTGTCTATGGTCGCCCTCCTCACGGGCTAGCCGCCAGCGGCCAGCCCTATCTCGCACTCACTGGCGGTGACAATTCAATGTGTGAGTGTTAGCGAACAGAGGCACGTGTGCTAATTCTAGGCCGCACGTCGTGGCACTATGACGAAGGTAGACGTGCGGCTGCAGCGCGCCCGCCGCAGGCTCGGCGGTGCGCGCGTGTTAGCGATAAAGTTGCGGGTAGAGCCGTTCCCGACTTGTCGAATGCGAGGCCTCTGCGACGAGTGCCAGTCGCGCTGCGGAGCCACGCCCTTCGAGCCGCGTCCCGTCGGCACTACCCTCGAGTGCGTGTCGCTTTGGTTGGCGACACCCACTCGTCGAGGGCAGTCCAGCCGACGGGAGCCTGTCGCGCGCCGGCGACGAATGCGGCGGGGTGGGTGTGGGTACAAAGCGCCGCTTCGACGAAGCGAGGTAGGCAGGCGCCCCTCACGAGTCCGTTCAGACATGCCACACGCCCCTCGCAAGCGAGGTTGGCAGGCGCCCCTGGCGAGACCCGCAAGAGATGCCACACCACCCTCGTACCTATACTCCACCAAGTCAAGGTGAAAAGATCTTATCAGCCAGGCGGGCAGGGCAGGCGGGCAGGCTCGCCGCCGGCGGCGAGCTCGAAGACCCGCGCCGAGCCTCGCCGAGCCTGGCGGGCCCACCCACACGCCCGCGGCCGCAGGCAAGCAAGGCGAGCTTGCTGGCGTCTTTGCCAAGCGCCAGCATGCCAAAAGACACCTCGCAGCGCGCGAGACGTGCCGAGACCGATACGCCCCGGCGCCGCGTGAGCGTCCGGTGGGCTCCCGCACCTAGCGCGCGGCCGCCGCGCGCATTCGCGGCGGCAGCGGCCGGGGGCGGAGCGCGCGCATAGACAGTTGTTATGGCGCGGAATTTTTCAAGGAGCTGAAAAAAATTCGAGGGGCGATATAATTCTTTTCGCGCCGGAGAACTGCGCGCGCTCGCTTCGGTGGGGCGCGACAGCTTTCGTGAAGCGCATGGCTGCCATCGACAGCCTAGACGCCGAAGAGATGATTCGCAAAAAGCTGGCCAGCGGGACGCCTGGAGCGGCGGCGTCGGCGGCATCGTCGCCGCGGGTGTCGCACGCCAAGTCGCGGGGCGCGCGCGACGTCATTTTCGGCGTCGCCTGCGTGCCGTGGGTGTGCGCGTCGGCGCACCTGGGCGCCATGCACGAGGTAGACGTGAGCGCGGGCGGAGGGGGAGGCACCGAGTTTGAGGAACTGCGCCGGCGTCCGCCGCCGGGATGGCGCCCCGAGATGGCCGCGCAGCAGCAGCCTCCCGGAGGCGAGCCGCCGCCGCCGCCGCCGGAGGAGGAGGAGGAGGCGCTGGTGCTGCCGTGCCCCGTCCGGCCGCCGCCCGCGTGCGGGGAGTGGCCGACGCGCACCTTCTGGCAGCTGCGGGTGCCGTCGTCCGGGTCCTCGACGCTCGCCAACATGCTCAGCTCCATGGCGCCGGACGGCGGCGGCGCCGGCGAGCCGCCCGAGGTCGCGGCGGCGCGGCGGCGGCCGGCGGGCTGCGCGCGCTGCGCGGCGGCGAGCGCGGCGTGCGGCTGCGCGGCGCACTTCGCGCCCCGGGCCGTCAACCCGGGGCACCGGAACTTCAAGGGCGCGCCCCGCGGCGACCCGGCCGTGCGCTACGTCACGACCCTGCGCCACCCGGCCCTCTGGCTCGACTCGGTGCGGCGCAGGTGGCGGGCGAACAGCGCGCACTCGCTCAAGGCGCGGAACGGGCTCGACGAGGCCGCGGTCGCGGCGCTGACCGAGGGGGCCCTGGAGGACTACCTCGAGGCGAGCTGGTGGCAGTGGAACACCTTCGCGCGGTCCCTGGCGGGCAACTACTCGGGAGACTGGATCGGCGGCATGTTCGGCGGCACGGGCCGCGGCGGCGACGACACGACGCGCGCGCTCGCCGAGGCCCTCAGCGACCCCTCCGGCGGCGGCGGCGGCGCGGCCCTCCTGGCGCGCGCCTCCGCGGCGCTGCGCGCCATGCCCTTCTTCATGATCCTCGAGCGCTACGACGAGTCGGTCGCGGTCATGCGCCACCGCACCTGCCTCGCGCCCGCCTACACCACCGCCGGCTGCAAGAGCGGCATCGCCGCCGTCAAGGCCGCCTGCAAGGCCGAGCCGGGCGCCACGACCGACGCGTGCCGCCCGCGCGTCGTCGCCGCCCGCACCGCGCTGCCCGAGTGCGACGACGCGCTGGTGTCGCGCGAGCCGCCGCGGTTCACGCCCGCGCGCACGCGGCCCGAGGAGAAGCTGCCCGCCGCGGCCCTCGCCGCGGCGCGGCGGCGCATGGGCGTCGACATGGCGCTCTACGACGAGGCGACGCGCATCTTCGAGGAGCGCCTCGCCGCCATGCGCGCCGACCAGGCGCGCGGCGTCGTCTGCCGCTTCGAGGCCCCCACCGTCGGCGCCGACGCGGCCTGCGGCATGGTCTGCACCGGGGAAGAGCCGAATAAGCGCCGAGCGAAGCCGAAATTTAGCCCGCGTGTGCCGGGTCCGGCCGGGACCGAGTACAAGATGTAAATAGGTTTGAGGTCTTGCTCAGAGGGCTTCGAATTTACCGTCACGGTGACCATAACCGTGAAAAAAAATGAGCGTTCTCGGCTGCCTCCAACTTCAAAGGCGCCCAGTAGCACTCAGAACGACGGAAATCCTCCTGGAAACGATCGACACTCCCCATTGGAATTCCGCGGGCCTGTTTCAGCAAACGTCCGTCATACGTGAGACATAGCAATAAATAAATAAATAAAAACGGTCAAACTCTGAGACGAGATGGGATTTAGGGACATGTGTCCCCGCCCTGCACGATCTTGGTGTGAGGGATCTTCAATCGAGACATAGCAGTTATCCAGATCGAAATCGATTACCTCGAGCATCGTCGAGAAGTTAATCGACGCGTGTCCCCACATTTCCCCTCTTGTGCCCCGGTCTAGAATTCTTCCTTTGCACGACACTAGGCACGGGACTGGCGCGCACTGGCACTAACACAGTGTCGTGCGAAAAAGAATTTGCGCACATTCTCCATCACAGGCAATAACAAAGGTACCCCTCCGCTTTTGCAAAATCCTGCAAAGGTGGGGACGTGTCTATCCTCGACCCAGCCCTAGCTTGGGATGTCCCTTTCTTAATTTATTTATTAAAAAGGTACAACGGGTTCTAGAGCTACCAGACGAGCTCCGCACAACAATGTCGATAATTTTCACACCTTCCACTTCTCTCAATAGGCTACATCCAACCGCGGCCCCACACCGAGGTCTGACCGAGCGCATGCGGGACGGGAGTGAAGGAGTGAAGGAGCCACGCCTCTACCCTGTGGGCCTACCCGCGGAGCGAGGTAGAACTACCAGACGAGCTCCGCACAACAATTTCGATAATTTTCATACCTTCCACTTCTCTCTCAATAGGCTACATCCGCAGGTCGTCGATCCGGGAGAGGAGCGCGCTCTCGTCGTCGTCGGGGGCCGTCTCGGGAGGCATAGCCGTGCGTGTGTGAGGCTCTTCGTCTGCGGCTCCTCGTGTGCAGCCGCCTCGTCACCTGTGCATATCAAAGTTGTCGGGTGAGCATCGCGCCGGTCCCTCTCCCTCCCTCTCTCTTGGTGGAGAGCACGCTGCGCTTCGGTGGAGGCGTGCGCGCGCGCAGCAGAGTCTCAGCCAGCGTTTAGTGTCAAGCTCCTTTGATGCTTCAACGCGGAGGACACCGGCGAGATGTGTCGTGGGCGGGGTGTATCGCGGGTGATGGGCGGCGTGGGCTCTCGCGCTATCTGCGAGCCCGATGGATGGCTGTTGGCTCGTGTCGAGCTCCAGCGACAAAAACAATTCTTGAATGTCCTGGTCGACGCGGTCGTGGGTCGCTGCAGGCCCAGCGCATCGATGTCAGTCGCGCTGCAGCTCGCGGCGGCGGAAGAGATTGCGACCGAGCTCAGGCTCGCCGCGGCGTCGGAGAGGACGCCGCCGTCGCCTAGACTCCCCTGCGTCACGACTAACACTATACGGCTTTACGTGCCTCCCCGTCTTTGCTCTTTGGTAGCCTGGCGTTTGTGCCCCGTTTGTGCCGCGTCCCGTGGCCCCGAGTTCATTTTAATAACTCCGAGCCTCTCTCACAGCACACTGGCACGACAAGGGCGCGGGCTGGCGCGGCAAAAAGAATTTGCGAAAGCGCGCCGTTAAGACTTGCGCTTGCCGCTCTCTACCGTCCTGGATGCGCCTCTCGCCACTCTCGGATCATCCTGCGCAGGATGTGGTTGGGGAAGAGCCGAGTGAGCTCGAGCTCCTCGCCCGTCATCGGGCTCGTCGACTTGGTCGCGAGCCAGCGCTCAATCGCCGACCGCTCGTAAGCATGCCCGTCCGCCGCCATCACCGGGTCGCTCATGAGCTCGGTCGTGATCGGGCAGATGAAGTCGGCCGGCGGCTCCTCCTCCTCCACCGAAGGCGGCCTCTCTGCAGCCAAAGAGGACGACACTTGCTCGTCGGCCGCCCGCCTCTCCTCCTCCAGCCTCGCGCTCTCCTCGAGCGCCGCCGCCAACTCCGCCTCCTCTCCCGTCGCCTGATCCTCGGGCTCCTGCGACGGCCCAGCGCCGCCCCCGCCGCTCTTCTTCTTCTTCTTCTTCCCCTTCTTGCTCTTCTTGGCGCGCTCCCCCGCCTCCTTCTCCGCCTCCTCCCCCGCCAGCAGCGCCTCGGCATGCCGCGTCGCCTCCGCCTCTGCCGCCGCTCTCACCGCCTCCCTCATCTCCGCCTCCGCCGCCGCCTCCGCCGCCGCATGCTCCTCGAGGGCGCGCACGCACTCGGCGTGGCCATTCTCCTTGGCTAGCTGCAGCGCGGACTTGCCCTCTGAGCGCAACGTCATGTCCGCGCCCGCCCGCAGCAGGTGGAGCACGACGGCGGGGTAGCCTTGGCTGGCGGCGCCCATCAGCGCGGTGTCGCCGTCGCTGTCCTGCAAGTTGATCTCCGCGCCGCGCTGCAGCAGCAGCTCGACCACTCGCTCGTGGCCGTAGGCCGCGGCGTACATCAGCGCGGTGCCGCCGTCTGCTGATGTACTCCGCCCGCTGGCCTGCAAATCGATCTCCGCGCCGCGCTGCACCAGCAACTCGACCACCCGCTCGTAGCCGTGGTAGGCGGCGTTCATCAGCGCGGTGCCGCCGTCGCTGTCCTGCAGGTTGACATCCGCGCCGCGCGGAAGGAGCAACTCGATCACTCGCTCGTGGCCCTTCTGGGCGGCGAGCATCAGCGCGGTGACGCCGCTCGCATCGCCTACGTCGCGAGTCGCGTTGACCTGCCCGCCGCTGTCGAGCCACGCCAGCAGCGCCGCCTCGTCGCCTTGGAGAGCTGCTGTCGCGGCCTCTTCGGGAAGGCTGCCCAGCGAGCTGGAAGAGGCCGCGGCATTCGCCCCCGCCGCCGCCTCGCCCGAGGAGGCGCCGCCCGCGCCGCCCGCCGCCGCCTCGCGCTGGCTCGCAGTCACCTCCGCGACGTGCTGCCGGAAGGCCTCGACGCACGCGGCGTGGCCCTTCTCCCTGGCATACTGCAGTGCGGACTCGCCCTTCGCAGAGCGCAGCTTCGTATCCGCGCCCGCTCGCAGCAAGAGTAGCACGGTTGCGGGGTGGCCGTTGCCGGCGGCGAGCATCAGCGCGGTGTCGCCGATGCTGCTCTGCATGTCGACCTCAGCACCGCATTGATGCAGCATGTCGACCACCCGATCGTGGCCGTGCTGGGCGGCGAGCATCAGCGCGGTGTCGCCGTCACTGTCCTGCTTGTTGATCTCCGCGCCGCGCTGCAGCAGCAGCTCGACCACCCGCTCGTGGCCCTCCTGGGCGGCGTGCATCAGCGCGGTGCCGCCGATGCTGTCCTGCAGGTTGGCATCCGCGCCGCGCTGCAGCACCAAGTCGACCACCCGCTCGTGGCCGTAGAAGGCGGCGTCCGTCAGTGCGGTGCCGCCGTCGCTGTGCTGCAGGTTGATCTCCGCGCCGCACCGCAGCAGCAGCTCGACAATCCGCTCACGGCCGTTGCCGGCGGCGAACATCAGTGCGGTACCGCCGTTGCTGTCCTGCTGGTTGACCTGCGCGCCGCGGTGCAGCAGCAGCTCGACCACCCGCTCGTGGCCCTTCTGGGCGGACAGGATCAGCGCGGTGATGCCGCTCACATTGCCTACCCCGCCAGTCGCGTTGACCTGCCCGCCGCTGTCGAGCCACGCCAGCAGCGCCGCCTCGTCGCCTTGGAGAGCTGCTGTCGCGGCCTCTTCGGGAAGGCTGCTCAGCGAGCTGGAAGAGGCCGCGGCATTCGCCCCCCGCCGCCGCCTCGCCCGAGGAAGCGCCGCCCGCGCCGCCCGCCGCCGACTCGCGCCGCCCCGCCGTGGCCATCTCCGCGACGTGCTGCCGGAAGGCCTTGAAGCACTCGGCGTGGCCATTCTCCTTGGCATGCTGCAGCGCGGACTTGCCGTCCTCAGAGCGCAGCTTTGTATCCGCGCCCGCACGCAGCAAGTGGAGCACGATGGCGGGGTGGTCGAAGGCGGCGGCGGCCATCAGCGCGGTGCCGCCGTCGCGGCTCTGCAGGTTGATGTCCGCGCCTCGCTGCAGCAACAGCTCAACCACCCGCTCGTGGCCCTCCTGGACGGCGAGCATCAGCGCGGTGCTGCCTTTGCTGTTCTGCTTGTTGATCTCCCGCGCCGCGCTGCAGCAACAGCTCGACCACCCGCTCGTGGCCGTTGAAGGCGGCGTCCGTCAGTGCGGTGCCGCCGTCGCTGTGCTGCTGGTTGACCTGCGCGCCGCGGTGCAGTAGCAGCTCGACCACCCGCTCGTGGCCCCACTGGGCGGACAGCATCAGCGCGGTGATGCCGCTCGTACCGCCTACCCGGCGAGTCGCGTTGACCTGCCCGTCGCTGTCGAGCCACGCCAGCAGCGCCGCCTCGTCGCCTCGCCCAGCCGCAATGGCCACTTCGTCGGGAAGGCTGCCTATTGAGCCGGAAGGCCGCTTCGCCCTGAGCCATGCTTGCGGCGCGCGCCCTTAAATTCTTTTTGTTTTAGGTATGTTGTTAGTTCCGCTTGCTGCGCGAGCTGCCGGCCCATATTGAGCGGTTCGTCCGCGTCGCGCACTCGTCCCATAGTCGCACAGGCGGGCCACAGGCGTCGAGCGTGGCTGTCGAGAGAAACGCTCCGTCTCAACGACGACGAGCGAGCAGCAGCATTTTTGCGTGAACAGCGTCTTACCTGCATACATTTGCTAGCCGACCACTCGCAAAAAAATTCTTTTTCTCAGCTTGCCATATATATATGCGACATCTCGCGGTCGTCGGCGGCGTCGCGCTCGTCTCTGGCGTCGTCGTCGCGTCGGCCATCTACCGCCGCCGCGCCGCGTTGCGCTCTCGCCTCTCTCGCTGGACCGAGGCGCTCGAGCTGGTCAAGGCGTTTGGCGATTCCTCTGGCCTCGAGGCGGAGCTCAGCCCGGGTCGCTCGCCGCTGCGCAACTTTGCGCTCACTTCTGCAGTACAGGCCCTCACCGACCGCCGCGCCGCCGCCGCCGCACAGTTGGGCAGCGCGCACGCCGCCGCCCTCTCGCCTGCGTCGCTCCGCGAGGCGTCGAGGTACATGCGGTTCGCCTCCGCCGCGTACGGCGCCGCGCTGATGGCGCTGTTTGGGCTGCTTCCTCCACCGACCCGCGAGCAGCTGGAGCTGAGTGTCGAGGCGCGAGACCACTCCACGGTGGGCCGTGAACGGCGTCTCTTGAGCAATGCCTTGCTTGCGGCGAGCAGGCGGCCGACCGCGCCGGCATCTGCACGCACACCGGCATTCGCACTGAGGACCTGCTCCGCCTCGACACCGCCTCGCTGGACGTGGCGGGCTCCTTGGGCTGCCTGCGCCACCTCGACACAGCAGCGGGGCCATGGGAGACACCTGTGACCAGGCGGGCTCCTCCGACTGTCTGCGCCACTTTCTGGCGGTGGACAGCGCCGGCGGAGGCGCCGTCGTACTCGCGCTGCAACAATAGATTCTTGTCTGTGTGAGTCATCATTCATTGCTTGCAAGGCGCCGTCGTGCTCGCGCTACGAGGGACCGCCTCGCTCTCCGACGTTGTGCACGACGCGGTCCACCACTCTAGAAGCGGGAGGCGCACTCTTTGATGTATTACTTACTCGCTAGTGGACACAGACTCGCCCATTTTAGAGTCGACCACCCTAGAAGCGGAACACGCACTCTTGTCTTTCACCCATCGCTCCTCTCTGTCACGCGCTGCACTGCTCCATTCTGCCGCCCTCACGGCTGGTTTGGTTCGCCACGTAGGTCGCGTACTCCGAGCCGTTTTGCGGCGGCGAGGCGCACGCGAGAGATCGCCGAGAGACAGCCGAGAGACAGCCGAGAGACAGCCGAGAGACAGCCGAGAGACAGCCGAGCGACAGCCGAGCGACAGCCGAGAGACAGCCGAGAGACAGCCGAGAGACAGCCGAGAGACAGCCGAGAGACAGCCGAGAGACAGCCGAGAGACAGCCGAGAGACAGCCGAGAGACAGCCGAGAGACAGCCGAGAGACAGCCGAGAGACAGCCGAGAGACAGCCGAGAGACAGCCGAGAGACAGCCGAGAGGCAGCCGAGAGACAGTCGAGAGACAGCCGAGTGACAGCCGCGAGCCGCTGTTCGCTCGTGGCTAGGCACACGCAGGCATGGCGCGCATGGCGCGGGCGGTGTGGGCGGCGGCGGGCGGCGACGTGCGGAGAGCGCTGGGCGCGCGGCCCGGTGCAGAGCTGGTCATCACAGGCTTGCTCGGGAGCATCTCGGGGGCATCTCGGGGGCATCTCGGGGCAGCTCGGGAAATCTCGGGGAAGTCTCGGGAAATCTCGGGCGACCTCGAAGTGAAGTCAGAGTGAAGTCACTTCATGAAGTGCAGTCATGCCAAGTAGAGTCATACTCAGTGCACAAGTGCACAAAGGATTGTCGTGCTACGGTCTACGTGCAGTCGTGCTACGTGAAATCTCGGGCGATCTCGGGCCGTCTCGCCCTCACACCCCGTTCCCTCTGCTTGCCGCCTCTGCTGGCCCTCTGCCGGGCAATGACATGCACAATCCTGCTGTGGTGGGCATAAGAGTCGTTCTGCTTGCATTGTCCATGCCCCAGGCCACTCCCTCGGCGCCGGCGTCGCTTGCTTGCTAGCGGTGCTGCTGGCCAAGGAGGAGGAGGCGCTGGCTGCGCGCGTCCGCTGCTTCGCCTTTGCACCGCCGCCTGTCTTCGCGCCTCTTTCAGCTGCGCGCGGCGTCGAGGCGCGATCACAGCTTCCCCTTCTAGATTCCTCTAGACCCCCCTAGTTCCACCGAAGAGCGCGCTTGGTATGCTACGGCGAGAGAGCAGATTCTCTCTAGATTCCCCCTAGATCCCCCTAGATCCCCCTAGACTCTCCTAGGTGCGCGCCTTCCTGCACGGCGAGGATTGCGTGCCCTTCCTGTCTGTCGACGCCGGCCGCCGCCGCCTGCTCACACTCCACATCAGCGTCTAAGATCAACTGGGGAGGAGCAGCGGTTCCATAGGCCGCCGCTTGCTCGCCTCCCTCCGCGCCGCCGGCACGATCGCAGACGCCCACTCCGCCCTCGCCGTCTCGCGAATGGTCTTCGGCCGGTGCGAGATCCGCCGAGATCCGCCGAGATCCGCCGAGATCCGCCGAGATCCGCCGAGATCCGCCGAGATCCGCCGAGATCCGCCGTCGCCGGTCTCGTCCACAGCTCGGCGATCTCTCAGCTATCTCTCGGCGATCTCCCGGCGATCTCCCGGCGATCTCCCGGCGATCTCCCCGCAGGTGCGCGCCCAGCGCTGACCTGGTCGCGGCCGTGTCGCGGGCTGCATATCTCGGCTGCATCTCGGTCACATCTCGGCTATATCTCGGCTATACCCCGCAGGTCGCGGCCGTGTCGCGGGCAGCGAGAGGCGTGGAGTTGCCTCGCGTCGAGCGAGCGCCGCGGCTGCTCATCCCGGCCTCGAGAGTAGCCGAGATGCGCCGAGATGCGCCGAGATGCGCCGAGATGCGCCGAGATGCGCCGAGATGCGCCGAGATGCGCCGAGATGCGCCGAGATGCGCCGAGATGCGCTGAGATGCGCCGAGATGCGCCGAGATGCGCCGAGATGCGCCGAGATGCGCTGAGATGCGCCGAGATGCGCCGAGATGCGCCGAGATGCGCCGAGATGCGCCGTGGTGGCCTTGCACGCTTTTAAACGCCGTGCGGCTCCTGTCGTCTAGACGTGGAGTCGCGAGGGACTAGCCTGGGCCTCGCCCCACCACCTCGTGTGTGTGGAGAAGCTCACCTCACCTCACCTTACCCACCTCCTTC